CCATATACATAATTTAAAGCAAAAGTATTGAGTGAAAATTGGTGCAACTGCGTCCTAGGTCAAGATGTTGCCAATGCCCAAAAGCCCCACCCTATGCCACAGTCATATTCACTAGCTTAGGTAAACTCTACTTTAACTACCCCTTTTTTGTAATATGGTTCATAATATGGTAAAAAAGTCATCCTGCTGAAAACAGGAAAAAAATGTTGTAAAACAAGAATTAAGGAATTATCAGGTCAAAATCTAGTTGAAGGTGAGATACAGACTAGGTATAGCAGTGATACTCCTTTACCCTAGGGAATTAAAATTGGAAACTCAAGTTTGATTTTTTAAAATATTTACTTAGTTATGCATATAAAAACTTGGGTGAAGGCTATAGGTGTGTGGGGCGGGGTGGAGGTGAGAGGATTTACCAGAGACAGAGTGGGGAACGGATCTACTATTTCAGTAGACACATCTACTGAAATACACTGCTGAGGGGAGCAGGTGAGACAGGCAAGGTCTGCTGGGCCATGTGGGTCAGCTTCCTGGCCTGGGATCAAACTCATGCCACAGTGGCTATGATAGCTTGATAGCACTGTGTCTTTAACCCCTGTGCCACCAGGGAGGCCCAAGCTTGGTTTTTTTAGATCTCATGGGACGAGTAACATGTGGATAAAGTTCATTTGCCATCTAAAAGTTCTAAAGTTAGTTCTTCAAAAAGCTATAGTTTCAGTATAAGGGTAAATTCACCCACAAAACTGGAAAGAAAATTGTCTTTAAAGGAGCACTTCTTAGGAACACAGTCTTAAAAAAAAATCTTCTTGTGGTTAAAAAAAATTCCCAAACAGTGAATATAATTTAAAGTGTTTCTTCTTGCATAATCGAAAGCAAACCCTCTCTACAGGAGTAAACCTTTATCCTAGATCTCAAAGAATTCCCACAGATACTTTTCCAAGGAAAATGTAATGTACAATTTTTACGAAACACAAAGTCAGCAAAACCAAATGATCACAGAAACAGATCTGACACTTTCAATTATCTTTAAATGAAAAGTAAAGAGCTTTTTTCAGAACAATTGAGATATTATTATACGTACACAGTAAAAAATTTCAAGAATGCAAATATGTTTAACTGAAGTCTATTTCTCCTTATTTATACTCCTTGAAGGCAAGTATTTTATCCAACTTGAAGGGTTATCGTGACTATCGGTAAAATGTTAAAATTCACAATTTAAGAGATCTAGATGGCTCTATTAAGCCAACTGGATATTACCCTATCTAGTACAAACAGTCACACGAAAAGAATAATTTATAGAGAGAAAGAGGGTGGGACAAGGTCATTAGCCAAAAAAAAAATTATTTTAGGTAAAACCATCTTCCCTCAGGGAAGGTAGGAGTGTCTTATTCCCTTAGCATTCAGTACCTCACTGGGGCTGATTAGGAAATTCCAGATTGACTTGTTTAAGATTGCAGTATTGGAAGAAGACTGGGTAAGGGTTCATGAAGAACTCCATTTGGGGCCTGCTTTTCTATCAATACTTAAAATATACAATGTAAAATGGTCATTGTTTGCTTTAAAAGGGGTGACATACCACTTTGTTCCTAGAATATATTAATGTTCTAATTTTGTAATTAGGTGTATAAAACAAAAATTTTTTTTTAAAGATTTATTTATTTTTGCATACAGAACTGGGGTACAGGTCAGAGGCTCTGGGGCAGCGAGCGGCTTCACCAGAGATAGAGTGGGGAGCAGAACAGGCAGATCGACCAAATACACTGTTGAGGGGAGCAGC